TCATCAACATAGAATAATATATATATATATATATATATATATATATATAGCCGAGTGGTATTACACAATGTTAGTGATGAAAATCTATATCTAAGAGCACCATTATCAATGGTTTCTTAATTTTGGTTCTTAAGAATTTTTAGTATTAAATTTATTATTTTTAGTTCTTAACTTTTTTTTTGTTCTTTAGCGAAGGAACTCATCTTAGATTTAATACACATTTGAGAATTAATTTTAATCAATTAAATGCTAAGATCATCTTAATATTTTCTTTAGATCCCTCCATTAAAGATGGTCTAAAGTAGCATATGCTAGTATGCTACGAGCTAAGCGCGCGCACACACACACAAAAGGATAGTCTGGATTAAACAAAGCCAGCAGACACATTTAATTTGTTCAATCTCTCGGTCGATATTTTCTACTTTGCATGTAAGTCATATAAAAATCCATTAAACACTTTTATTCATCATTTTTTCCCTCTTTTTTTCTATAGGAATATGTGAATATCATTCATCATTACATTATATTAAAAACTTTTTATTTATATACTAAAGACATATGTTATCTATTTATTAATCCGAATAGCAAAATAAATTTAATATATTATGATAAATAGATAACATAAGTACATAACATTATTTATGTTAACCCATAAGTAACACCTTGCCAATTAATTTGATAATGTACTGAGACCGTACGTCATCTAGTTCAAGTGATATTTTTTTTAGAATATAACGTGTGTTATGTACAGTGGTAGGTCGTGGATACAATCACAATTTCACGAGTATAATAAACTAAAGAAAAAGAATAATATCCGCATACGTATGTTAACTTTTGCTTTAGTATATAACAGAAACGATGCTCGAACATACATAAAAAAAATAGTAGATATTTCCGAATATGGGAATCATGTATGTGTTTGTGCTTTCTCGAGAACTTCCCCTTTGAGCATTTGTTCTCATCGATTCTTTTTATTCATAATGTACGTTTCGTTTTTGAGCATTACTTTTGAATTTTGATAAAGCAGAAGCAGAGCCGTAGCTGGATAGAAGCAAGAGAAGCGGGAGCTGCGGTCCTCCGAGAAATTATTAATATTTTCGGTCCTCAAATACCAATGTGTTTGAGTAGCTTAGTGGTATTATGTCATACACCACATATCTTAGGTAATGAGTTTGAATCACCTAAAGCATGAGAGAAAGTTTTTTTTTTGTTTTTTGTTTTTTTTATGGTTAAATTTTTTTATAAGTATACACTTTTCTAGAACGGTCTTATTTTTTTTTTGCGGGCGACCCTCATAATCGTTGCTACGGCTCTGAGCTGAAGACCCTGTCGACGGATTAATCTGCTTATAGTGAGAAAGGGTTAAAAAGATTAATAAAACCTTGGCTATTTCTAAATATATGTGTTACTCTTTTTTGTAAAAACGTTAATAGCTTTTTGTTGTTGAAAATATTTTGGTTAAATGTATTATTTATTTTATATATACTCCTTTCAATTAATAAGGGATTATATATACGTTGATTGATTGGAGGAATTTGAGTGACCACACACACAAAGTCACAAATCCAAAAATATATTATTCTATAATCTTGTGATGGTTATGGGCATATGGCCATATCTTTCTTTCCACTTTCGGCAAGAAAGCATGTGGAGAATGCCCAGCCTGTCACGTGTCATAATGGGGTTTGTTCGTCGTCCAACCCTACATATCCCAAAGTGGGAGTGGGAGTGGGTTTTGGCTAGTGTTCGTTCCCATTTCCCATTTCACATCTTATTTTCAACTTTTAGTTTCTTTTTCGTCTATCTTAAATTTGATAACAAAGTGAAATTATAATAACAAAAAATATTAGAATTCTCAAATAGTATGGTGGTTTATTTATTTTAATCGTAATACTTATGTCTAATGTGCAAGAATAAAATAAATAAATGGTTTACATAATAATTTAATTCCAATTAGTCCACATATATTTGATGCGTTTATTCATAACAAGTTTTTTTTTCATATTTATGATCCAACATATTAGTAGTTTATATTTGTTTGAATATATATGAAAAGAGATAATATACTAACATTGCAAACATGAATCTTATCGTATTACATTTTACAATACGTCTATCATAACATATTATGAAGAAAAATATCCTAAGATACCCATATTAAGTTTTTTTTTTTTTTTTCTTCTACAAATAAAATTACTTGTTTATTTTTCCAATAATACAAAGATTTGTATAAGAATATTTTTTCAACCAACATAAATTACAAATAAAAATTAAATATTATATTTGAGTTCTCTATTTTCAATTTAGAATTTATATTTCCACCATTCAAAAGAGATTTTGATTTATTTTAATATTATTGGGGGAAGAAATTTGCAATGGTATTTTTGAAACAAAAGCTTTTAAATATGGTATTTTAGAGAATTTCCCAATATGAATCGCTTAGTTTTCCTCCCATTAAATGTGAAAAAATTATTCATGGCATTCTCTTATTTGAAATGTTATATTTATTATCTTTAATAGATAAAACTCTCTAACAAACGATTACGGTACAAACTATTGTGATTAATATGAACGAAAAATGTTATTTCTGACATAAAGTTGAATCATCTAGTTAGTGTGAAACTAATGTATGTGATAATGTAGATGATTTTGTTTTTATGATTTAAAGGTATTCATTTTTGTCTCTTCTCATTTGATCCATATTATGCCTCAAATTTCCTTGATTTAAGGGAGTAAAAAGTATTCTAAAAACATATCGGGTCCAGGTCTTACGATAAGATTTTTACCTAGTCGGGTCGGATCACTATAGTCATGGACTCATGGATTTTCTGAAAAACAAATGCAATGTGCTTGTAACAACATTTGTGCAGTCTGTCACCATGTTATTGATATGTATTTGGCCGAGAGTGTATGATATGTCCAATTGAGTAGATATATTTTTTTTGAATGATGTAGGTATGGATTGTGATCTTACATGACAATTGGTCAATATTACTATTATTTCATGTTTTTTTCATTGACTAAGTATTAATTGTCACAAATGGATGCATTCAATTCTCCAATTTTTCAAGAATAATAGATTTTAATGCTATCATTTACGTTCTATGGTTGAAACTTAAATATGATGGAATTCATGTACATTGATTGAAAACAATTGATCTTCATAACTTTTATGAACCCTAAATTTTTATTTTCGCAAATGATGATGAACATATTTCTCCGTTTAAGCGTTTTAACTGTTCAACTGTGTTGATTTATAGCTTAACCCGTTTCATTGATGTACAATTTCAATGTCACAAGCTCTATGTTGCGACGATTGCTGCACGAAGAGGCTACTATTCTCAACAACAACAACGATTTTCTATTCTTCCCCAGAAACGACGCTCCATTCTTCCCCATCCTAACTATAGTATAAAGCAACATCTCTCTTAGCTCAGACACTTTTTAGATAATAGTGGTGGATTTGGTATTAGAAACCTCGTTGATAATGTTCCAAAGGGTCGAAATGAGATTTTGAAGTACATTTTCAAAACCATTGCAAACATTTTGAAATACATTCTCCAAGCTATTTGGGCTTATGGGAAAGGAGCAGTTGTAAGTATTTGTAACTACTTGAAAAATAAGTAGATTGAAAGAATGACTGATAACTATGTGCCAAATTTCTCTTGCTTTGCGTTTTTGTTGTGTGTGTTTGGGCCTTTTCGGGTTTTAAATTTGATGACATGATTGATGCGTTAAAGAGATTGAATGTGATGTTCATACTGAGAGCTGAGAGGAATGTTCTCTGTTTGGATTCTCTCTACCAAGACGTCCCGGTAATCCAAATTAGGTTGATGATTTGGGTGTTTAGTGAGCTAATTGGACTTGTTTGTAATGCTCATTGATCATCCAGTTGTGAACGGAAGTTGTTGATAATTAAGTGATTTGTGAAGTTATTAGTGTGTCGCTGAAGTGGATTAGTCATATAAATGAGTTCCGAGTTCTAGGATGGTGCTTAATTCAACATTTTGCATCATTACATGATTGTTAGTCTATTCTCATGATAGTAAACCTATGGTCCAATGTTTTCTCTATATTTTACTTCTTGCATTTTTTTACCTTTTAATCTAAACAAAAACATAAAAACCATTTGTTCAAGATTTTTTTGAATCTCGCATCCCTAATGTTGCAATCTTTATTACTCGTGGGATCGACATCTAAAATACTTTAACGATTTCGTTGATGCATTTAGATTATTAATTGACAAAACGCATAGATCAACAATAATAAGAATTTACATAAAATTTATTCAGTAATGATGGATTAATTGATGACTTGGGCTGTAAAAGTATTAGAGCTAGGCTCATTTTATTATTTTCAAACTCGGACTTTCCAAGACTAGATCAAAACTTGGTCTATTGTGTCTCTTTTCTAACTTCAAGATATTATAGTTGAGATGCAGGCCGGACCCACATGGTACCATAAATTAGATATAACCCATAAATTAGATATAATAGCGCCAAAATTTTTTTTAACAAATCTTGAAAAGTCCAAAACTTTTAAAGTAATATGTTCTTAATAATAAAAAAATTGGCCTTTAATAATATGTTTTAATTTTTTTTTTTTTTTTTTGCGCAAATGTCTTTATTTGATTTGGGCCGAGACTGCTGAGATATAGTATTGCGCAAATGTCTTTACTATTGTTTCTTTTATAACATGCTTGCAACATATTATAATATTTTGTGGATTTTGACAGTATCAACCCTCTGTCTCTTTATGATTGTGGTTTTGCGGGTTGATCCATATGCTCTCTTACATAAAAAAAAATTGTTTAGTTTTTAAAATTTTTTTGAAGAAATTTTTTTGGTGTCTAGAATATACCACTCCTTTTAGGCATCTAAAACTATAGCTCTAACCCCGTCCATAGCGGAGAAGTTTACACCTATCCCGTGGACGCTCGCCCGAATTCACACCCCTGTCTGAAATCATATCCTTGTGTAAGTGGCATGAACATAGCCTGATGGCATCCAAAACAGGTTTTTGATTGGAGAAATGATACAAAGGAGGTCATTTAAAAAAAAAAAAATACACCGGTTTGCATAATCCTAGACCTATAAAATCCTGGGACAGGACAAAAACTAAAATTCTAAAGTGAAATGGATACATATAGGCTAGCCAACAAGTAACTGAGATAGATAAGAAAGGATTAAAAAAAAAAAAAAGACAATTTAAACAAATAGTCCTGTTCTGGCTAAGTTGTTTTCAGAAGAGACATTTATCTAAATGTTTCCATGTGAGTTAAGTAAGCTGTCGCTTTTCAAGCTTAGAATCTGTCACAATTTCTTTCTAAAAGAAGTGACAGATCATTGTGACTGATTCCCAAGCTTTTAAACAAAAACAATAAGAAGACAAAATGATTAGAGATTTTTTCTTATGCACAAAAGCATGACTATAATTTAGTTTCATTGAGGCCTGTTCTGATTTATTAGTGGGTAATCTCCAAGTTGTTCAACTTTCCAGCTTTGGTGAGAAGCAATGTGCTTGTGTGAAGGAGTATATAGCTGCCAACAAGAAACAAAAACTGAAAACAATTGTATTGTTTAAATACTCAAAACAAAAATATTATCTTAAGTGTTTTAGGTACCTCCATCTTCTCCATAAGCTCTCTAGCCGATGGAGCAGAAACAACGATATTACGAGCGCCTGGTTTAATAAAACCTTCTTCAACTCCAGTGTCAAATAAAGCAAGTAAATTGTTATAGTAACCATCAGCATTCAAAAGACCAACCTGCAGAAATTAGTACAATCCTAATCATCAACATAGTATCTAATGTAGATACCAGCAAAGGGAATGGTGTCAAATACCGTCTTCTTATGAATACCAAGCTGTGCCCATGTTATCATCTCCAGTAGTTCCTCCATAGTTCCATAACCTCCTAATGAAACAAGAAGCCAGCATCATTTAAAAATGCAAACTTTTAAAAACTTGCTAGAATCTTTGGAATTAGAAAACTCGCCAGGGAGGGCAATGAAAGCCTCAGCTTCTTGAGCCATTGCAGCTTTGCGCTCGTGCATGTCTGCAACAATTCTTACATCTCCAACAGTCTCACCAGATATCTGCATAAAACCGATCCAATCCACAAGCAATAAACAAAACAAAGTCTGTAGAGTTTGTAGAGTTTGAAACATACCTCAATAGGCATCAAAGCTTTAGGAATGATCCTAAATCCATATAAAAGATATTTTAGATTAAAGTTTTAAATTGCATTGCAACTAATGGAAATGAAGACAAAAGTGGAAGAGAGACACTTAAAAGACACCATAAACCAAATCAATCTTTCTCTTCACCTAAAACTTCACACCAATCTTTAGGGAAACAATTGATTCATCTATTTCTTCTTTTAAACAATCAGAACAACACCCACAAAACAGAAACACTTAAAAGATGAACAAATTTGCATTCACTAACACTAAAATCTAAACATTGTCCACCAAAAAGTTAATCATAGAGCGAAAAAACTCAAACCCATGTCTAAAATCATTCACATGAACAACCAAATTTCAAAAAGTTTGTATTTTGGCATTCAAAAACACTAAAAAGTTCTGATTTTTCCGTTCAATTGCAAGAAAAAGTTCGTATCTTTATCCAAGAATATTAGAATAACAAACCAGTTCATTGCCAAGTTCGATTGCAGCATCACTGAAAACTTCTCTGTGACCAGAGTGACTTCCGCAAAAAACACAGATTTTACTGAATTTGGTTCTCTGATTTTCCTCCATTAATGATTATGCAAAATCCAGCTCTTTTTTTTTAGGCAGAAGCCGTTATAAAACCAAAATCGTGAAAAAAGGAAGCAGAATTCAGAACGAAGAAAGCGACAAAATGAATCCTCTCTTAGCTGGTACTCTGGTACTATGGACGACGTAAATAAGCCAATAACCAAATAAAATTTTCAAATAAAAATATACTATCTATATATACATTTTTGAAGACATTTATGAATCATAGAGTTCCAACTTATTTACGATCAAATGTTATTGACATTAATTATTTAGATTTTCAAACTTAAATCAAGATATTAACATAAAAAATCATTTCCAAAAATATTAAACTAATATATTAAGCATAACTAATCATTGCCACAATTATATCCATATTCAATTCGATTTCCTTAAAAAATCGCAACAATCTCTACATTTAATGGTGACCATTCAAATCTTAATCCGGTTTTTAATCTTCAATCTTGACCGTCGGTCATACGTAATTAATTCAAAAATCATTATATAAAATTAATTATTATTAACTAAAGTTTAAAAAAAATATATATAAAATCAAACTTTTAAATTGACTCGAATGTGGAAGCCCCCTTGGCCCATTGGTTGATCAAGGGTTCATTAATGCTTCTACATCAGAGGTTTGGGGTTCGAGCCCCAGATACTGCGATTTATTAATAAATTTGCAGATTATTGGAGACAAGTGTGCAGGAGATCTCCAGCGAAGTACAATTATAGCCGTTCGTCAGGATTCTACACAGAGAAAAAAGTGTCCATCAAAAAACCATGAAGAAGGAGGTGAAGGAGGTGAGCATGAAGAAGGAGGTAAAGGAGGTGAAAGAAGTGTGGATCTAATTCGAGTCAATTTTTTTTTTTTCGTCTAGATTTATTATTTATTGCAAATTATGAGAACTGTTACATAGAAGATCTACACCGGCAATTTCTTCTGACCCATACTAGATCCACGACAGACTACACTTCTTTCTTCGTGATCTTGATGAATACCGTCAATTTCTTCCTTCTCTGCGTAGAATCCTGGCGAAACGGCTATAATTGTACATCGCTGGAGATCTCCTGCACACTTGCCTCCATTAATCTGCAAATTTGTTAATAAATCGTAATATCTGGGACTCGAACCCGAGACCTCTTGGTGTAGAAGCATTAATCAACCTTTAGTCAACCAATGGGCCAAGGAGGCTTCCACCACTCGAATTATATGTCTATTAAATAAAATATTAATAAAAATAACAAAATGATGTATAATTTTACGGGACGGGTTATATAGTGGGAAGGGGTTGGATCGATATTAATACGGGACGATATTAATATCACGGATGAAATCTTACAATTAATAATCAAAATACAATTATACAATCCTAAACACTTAACAAAATAAATAATATTAAAAATAAAATTTAAAATTTAATTTTTTAATTAAAAAATAGCCCCGCGGTGTAAAATTTAGTATTTTAATATTAAAGTTAAACCAAAACAAATATATATATATATATGTTGAGTTCAGGAAAAAATATTAATGCTTCATATATAAAAAAGGATAGCTAGTAAAAAATTAATGTCATTTGCAAAAAAAGAAAAAAAGAGTAAAAATTTAATGTTTTGAAAAGATAATGGACAATATTAGGCTTGAGCATTCGGTTGATTCGGTTTATCCTGATCGGTTTATTCAGATTTTCGGTTTTTTCGGGATGATCATAATTTCACCGAATTGAACCACATAAAATAATTGAACCCAAGTTGAAATGAAAAAAAATAATAAGTGAAAGATCATGCACATTTTTTAATAATTTTTCTCCTTTATTTTAAATAAATTTCTTTTTTAAGAAAAGCCTTTGCTTATATAATCGAAACTACGAAAATAATTAGAAGAATACAGAAGAAGGAAAAGAGAAAAACAAAAGTTGTAATTTCTTCTTCACACGTTTTCCTTAAAGTGGAGGAAATTTGTTTTCAAACTTTTGTTTTATGCCCATATTCGTCGCGTATTCGTGTCAGTGCTTATATTATTACATGCTCCATTAATTTTAATAACGTCAAGCATCATAATTAATTATAGTAAAAATTATTTTGAATGTGAGAGGCTTACTGTGAAGTTTAGACCAACTTTTACCAAGGCTTGTAATGAATTTTACCTTCGTTTAGAATCAGAACTTGTAAAGAACAGAGCTTTGAGTGTTTAGAATAAATGGAAGAACTTGGCTAACACGAAAAACAGAGCACACACGAGATTGTTAACCCAGTTCACACCAACGGTGCTACGTCTGGGCCGGGAAATCTTTTCCGGAATCCACTATAACCTTTGAGATTTTCAAAGAGATTTCTCACCCTCACAGCCCTTTACAAAGCTAACTCAGATTCACTCTCTTTCACTCTCTGTTTCCCCAAGAACACTCAATACAAGTTTACTCCCAATTGAATGTCTTTGCGTTTCTCTACCCTCTCTCTCTCCACAATGCTCAGCTTAAATAGACAAAGAGAACTTAACCTAGGTTCCTTCTGGATCCTTCCCGTTTAGTCCTCAAGACGCTCCTTTGCAGCTTCCAGGAAGTTGCCTCTCGCATTTTGTCTTCTAACTCCTTTGGGTAGAGCTTATCCAGGGATGCACTTTACCACAACCAGACAAGAAATGCTTTAACCATTCAAACGTTGCTTTAGTGACCAACGCAAACGGCTACTCGAGTCTTGTGGTCCTGCGTCTGACGTGTCTTATGCATTGCTGGCATTACTTGTTCCTCAAGCTTCTTCATTTCTTGTGTTCTTCTTTACTAATTCTCAACAAATCTCCACCTAGTAAAGTAAGAACATGAAACATGGAACAGAAGAAGCGATGATACCTTAGAGAGATTGAACTTGACTTGTTATAGTTTAGGATTCCTTTCCCGGTCCTGAGTTTGATTACTCAGCCTTTACACGCAGCGAGTCCAAAGCTGACTTGAACTTGCTGACGGGTACTATCTTGGTGAAGATATCTGCAGGGTTGATCAGTGTGGATATCTTCTGGACTTCCACAACTCCATCCGCAATTACTTCACGGATCTTGTGATACTTGATATCAATGTGCTTCGTTCTGTCATGATGCACATTGTTCTTTGACAAAGCTATGGCACTTTGAGAATCACAAAAGATCTCCACAGTCTTTTGCTCATAGCCAAAATCCTTTAACAACCCCTTAAGCCATATTGCCTCCTTAACAGCTTCAGTGAGAGACATATATTCGGCTTCAGTAGTAGAAATAGCCACTACTTTCTGTAAGCATGACCTCCAGTTTATGGTGCTTCCACCAAGTGTGAACACCATTCCACTTGTTGACCTTCTGTTGTCAATATTTGCAGCGTAGTCTGAGTCACAGTATCCTCTAAGTATGAAGTCTCCTCCCTTCTTGTAACACAACTTCATCTTGAGACTTCCTTTAATGTACCTAAGTACCCACTTTACTCCCAACCAATGCTCCTTGATCGGTTTGCTCATGAACCGACTGATAATACCAACAGAATAGGCCAAATCTGGTCTTGTTCCAATCATGGAGTACATAATGCTTCCCACGGCATTAGAGTAAGGTACTGACTTCATGTACTCTTCATCGTTGAGCAATTGTTGCTCTGTTGCAGCATGCATTTTTAAATGAGCACCCAGAGGTGTCACAACAGACTTGCACTGCTCCATATTGTAGACTTCCAGTACCTTGCTTAAATAATCCTCTTGAGACAAAGTGAGAGTTCCCTTGACTCTGTCTCTTGAAATTTCCATGCCCAATATCTTCTTTGCTGCTCCAAGGTCCTTCATTTCAAATTTCTCACTGAGTTTCTGCTTTAACTCTGAGATAACTTTCATATCTCTCGCAGCCACTAACATGTCATCGACATATATGAGTAAGTAGACCTTAGAACCATCCTCCAGTGTCTTGATGTATGCACAATTGTCACGCGGGCTCCTTTCAAAACCTATTTCCAGCATGTAACTGTCAAACTTTTGATTCCATCTTCTTGGTGACTGCTTCAGACCATACAGGGTCTTGTTCAGGAGACACACTTGATCAGACTTGAACTAACTATCAAAACCTTCTGGAGCTTCCATGTAAATCTTTTCTTCTAGCTCTCCATGAAGAAATGCGGTTTTGACGTCTAACTGTTCAAGTTCATAATTCTCTTCTGCAACAATGGCTAGCAGTATCCTTATAGACACATGTTTCACCACAGGTGAGAATATATCAGTGTAGTCTACTCCTTCTCTTTGTGCATACCCTTTAGCAACGAGCCTTGCTTTAAATCTTGGCTTTTCAAACCCAGGAATTCCAGGCTTACGCTTGAAAATCCACTTGCAGCCTATGACTCTCTGTCCTGCAGGCTTAGTGACTACAGTCCATGTGTGATTCTTCACCAGAGAGTCCATTTCTTCATCCATGCCGCCCTTCCACAATTCCCAATCATCATCTCTTAGAGCTTCTTGATAATTTGCAGGCTCAATGGTGTCTCCATCAAATGTGGTGACTAGGGCTTCCGCATCAAAGTACTCTTCATCATCATCAGTGAACTCACTGTAATATCCTTCCACATCAAAATGTCTTGGAGCTTTAATCTCCCTCCTGACTCTGTCTCTGACCAAATGGTAACTTTCAGGTGAATTGTTTACCACTTCATCATTGATCTCTGTTTCTTCAGGTTGGTGACTTCCTTGAGGTGGTGTGTGATCTCCTAGGGATCCTGTTTCTTCCGAGAGATCTCCACCAGAACTCATGTCACTTGTTTCTTCAAGATCAATGTCTAGAGACCCACTTGATGTTTCTTCTTGTTCTTGATCAGAGTCTTTATTCTTCTGAATTAAATCCTTGTAGACTGCATTTTCTTGAAATGCTACATTTCTGCTGACACTGCACTTCTTCTCCTCCGTTAACCAGACTTTGTACCCTTTTACTCCTGTAGGATAGCCTAAGAAAACTCCTTTCTTTGCTCTAGGGACCAACTTGCCTTCATCTGCATGAACAAAAGCAACACAGCCAAATCTTTTAAGATAGCTATAGACAGGAGGCTTACCTGACCATTTCTTGTCAGGAATCTCAAAGTTAATTGCAGATGAGGGTGTCTTATTGATGAGGCTTACTGCAGTGCTTGTAGCTTCAGCCCAAAACGTCTTTGGTAAGCCAGAATCACTCAGCATGCTCCTGACTTTCTCCATTATTGTGCGATTCATTCTTTCTGCAACGCCGTTTTGTTGAGGCGTATAGGCACATGTTCTATGTCTGACAATGCCTCTCTCCTTGCAGAACTCACTGAACTGAAGATTGCAAAATTCAAGTCCATTGTCGGTTCTTAGAATTTTGATCTTCCTCTCTGTTTGGTTTTCTACCATGACACACCATTCAGCAAAGGTACCAAAAGCTTCATCCTTGTGCTTGAGAAAATAAACCCACACCTTTCTTGAGTAGTCATCTATGAATGAGATGAAGTACTGACATTTTCCCAAGGATAACGGAACCGATGGAGCTCCCCATAAGTCAGAGTGAACGTAGTCTAACTTATCTTCTGTACCATGTGTAGCCATAACAAAACTCAGTCTTCTTGCTTTACCATAGATGCAGTCTTCACACATCTCAAATCTTGAGACTTTCTTTCGGTCTAGGTACCCTTTCTTGACCAAAATATCCATATTCTTCTGACTAATATGGCCTAGTCTTCTGTGCCATAAGACTGTGTCATCATTCTTTCTTTCAACATTCAGCAAATGACCATTCTCTGGTTTACCCTGAAGTAAGTAAAGCTTCTCATGCCTGTTACCAACAAATAGAGTCCTATTTCCTTCCTTAATTACTAAGACTCCATTATTAGACTCAAAACTGCATCCTTGTTCCTCCAAGGTTCCCATAGAAAGTAAATTACGATCCATGTCAGGAATGTACCTTACATGAGTGAGCACCACAGTTGAGCCATCTCTGTTTCTGATCCTGACATTTCCAATGCCTTTGACTTTTGAGGTAGTCTTGTTTCCCATCCTTACAGAGCCTACTGCTTCATCACTCAGATACTCAAACCATTCCTTCTTGTGAGTCATGTGGTAACTACATCCAGTGTCCATGATCCACTCATTCTCAAGATTTACATCTGTTGAATGGAGTGCTTCTGACACATAATGTGCTACTGCATCCGATGAACTTCCCTTTACCGTTGTAGCCTCTCCTTTGCTGCTACTGGATTGGTCTTTCCCTTTGACTTGTGATTTTCCCTTGTTAGGGCATGAGGTCTTGAAATGACCTTCCTCTCCACAAATCCAACAACACTTTTTTTTCTCTTTAGATCTTGATCTTGATCGGTTGTTCCTGTTGCCTTTTTCTCTCTGCTCTGGTCTGCCCCTTGTCTCATTTTTCTCCTTGACATACAGACCCTCTGCTTGTCCCCGTATACTCTTCTTGTTTGAGCCGAGCTCCAGCTCCTTTGAGTATATAGCTGCTACAACTTCATCAACAGACAATGTTGCTCTTCCTGAGCTATACTTCAGAGTATCTTTCAGTTGATCAAACTGCTTTGGTAATGACATCAGTAGCAGGATGGCTTGATCTTCATCAGAGATTAACACGTTTGTGTTTTCAAGATCAGCAATAAGACGCAAGAACTCGTCTATGTTTCCTTCAACAGACAAGTTCTCCTGCATCTTGAAGCTATATAACTTTTGTTTCAGATAAATGCGGTTTGGAAGAGCCTTGGACATGTACAGTTTGTCTAAGGCATTCAACATAGAAGTTGCAGTCTTCTCTTTCTTGATCTTCCTCAACACTTGATCTGAGACGCTTAAAACAATGGTGCTCCTTGCTTTCTGTTTCTTTTCCTCCATCAGAGCTTCTTTCTCTCCTTGTTATGGTTCTTTTCCTTCCTCTTCTGACTCCTTTGGATCTGAGACCACCTGTGTTTCCTTGAGAGCTACTGTTAGACCCAACAGATCCATGTGAGCCATGAGCTTCTCCTTCCACAGTGTGTAGTCTCCACGTCCATCGAACTTCTCCATTTTAACCTTTGCCGACGACATGGCTTCTTTGTTTTGTAAGAACCTTACAGAACCGCCAATACAAAGAACCAACGCTCTGATACCACTTTGTGAAGTTTAGACCAACTTCTACCAAGGCTTGTAATGAATTTTACCTTCGTTTAGAATCAGAACTTGTAAAGAACAGAGCTTTGAGTGTTTAGAATAAATGGAAGAACTTGGCTAACACGAAAAACAGAGCACACACGAGATTGTTAACCCAGTTCACACCAACGGTGCTACGTCTGGGCCGGGAAATCTTTCCCGGAATCCACTATAACCTTTGAGATTTACAAAGAGATTTCTCACCCTCACATCCCTTTACAAAGCTAACTCAGATTCACTCTCTTTCACTCTCTGTTTCCCCAAGAACACTCAATACAAGTTTACTCCCAATTGAATGTCTCTGCGTTTCTCTACCCTCTCTCTCTCCACAATGCTCAGCTTAAATAGACAAAGAGAACTTAACCTAGGTTCCTTCTGGATCCTTCCCGTTTAGTCCTCAAGACGCTCCTTTGCAGCTTCCAGGAAGTTGCCTCTCGCATTTTGTCTTCTAACTCCTTTGGGTAGAGCTTATCCAGGGATGCACTTTACCACAACCAGACAAGAAATGCTTTAACCATTCAAACGTTGCTTTAGTGACCAACGCAAACGGCTACTCGAGTCTTGTGGTCCTGCGTCTGACGTGTCTTATGCATTGCTGGCATTACTTGTTCCTCAAGCTTCTTCATTTCTTGTGTTCTTCTTTACTAATTCTCAACACTTACAATATAAATAAGAGGCTTACAATATATCTCATGTATATAATATAATGATTTTAGTTTGAAAATTTGATAATTTACGAGTTACGACTGAAAATCTTCATTTTTTTTTTTGGATAATTTTGTGTATTTTTTTATACAATATTTCTTTTTTACAACCACCCTCTATACAATGGCCAACGCAAACGCTCGAGAGAAAGAAATTTTTCTGATTTGTGTTAACCAAACAAGTTCTCTCAACAAGCAAATTAAAGAGACGTGAAAGTAATGTCTTTGCTGAATTTGCTTATAAAAGCAAAGCAGATATACACATTGTACTCTTACTTTTAATCCTCGTTTCACTGCTCATTCGTGTCTTTCTTCTATCAAGGTTAATTACCTTTTTTTTTCTTTGATTCTAGGTCTAATCTTTGTTTCTTGCATAATGCATGGGTCTTGTCTTGATCTTGAAAATTTTGCTTCTGTAACTACATTACTCGGCTCTCTTGTTGTCATTTTCTGTCAGGATTTTTTATTTCTTGACAAAGAATCTATGAAATCGAACACATTTACTTACTTTTTGTTGATCTGACAAGAGTTAGACAGATTTTTCTGATGACATTTGTAATAATGTCTGAAATCTTCAAAGTTGAAAAAAAAAAACAAGTTGGATTTTTTGTGATCTTGAAAGTTACTACAATGCTTCACTCACTTTAGTGTCTCCTCTTATCTCAGTTTTGATAATCTTGTGTTTGATCCTAAAATTTCTTTATATACTCTCATCATTTTAGGGTTATGGCTTATATTTGACGGTTCATCAAATTAAAATTTTAATAAATAATGTTTTTTTTTCCTTTTTTTTTTTTTTTTTTGTCAAACATGTTTTTTTTTCCTTACAAGGTCTTTGCTCTGATTAGATCTGGTGACGATGGACATGGAGACTTCTTGGAGATTTCTCAAAAGTGTTTGCATACTTTCCTTTCTCATTGGCGCTTGTTCTGTCTACCAAAGCCTTTGTCTTGTCGATGCTCAAGCAGACGCCATTGTAACATTGCAAGTAGATGCTTCTAACATGACAAGACGACCAATTCCTGAAACTCTATTCGGAATCTTCTTTGAGGTTTTGCACAGTTTCATGACTTTACTATAGGATTTTTCCCACCAAAATTCTTTGTTCACATTAGGCCTGGGCATTCGGATTTCGGATCAGATATATTCGGATTCAGATAATTCGGGTATGAAAGTTTATTATCCGTTCAGATTTTATGACTCTTCGGTTCAGTTTCGGTTCGAATATATTTGGGTTCGGATAATTTGGGTAGGAGAGTTTATTACCCGTTCGGATTTTATGAGTCATCGGTTCGGTTTCGGTTCAGATAGGTGTCGGATTCGGATCGGTTTTCAAAAAAAAAAAAACTAAAAAACTGTTCAATTTAAATAAAAATTGGTTTGATCTTACTAAAATTTGGTTAAATTTTGCAAAAATATGTATAATATTTAAAAATATAACTAAAAATTTCCGAAATCTAGGTTATTTAGGATATTTTTGTTATTTGCTATAAAATTACAACTAAATCTAACTAATATTTTTGGATATATACTTTTATTTCCGGTTTTTGGATATCTTTTCGGTTTTCGGTTCGGATCGGGTTCGGTTCGGATAATTCGGATAGGAAAATTCATTATCCGTTCGGGTTTTGTGACTATTCGGTTCGGGTACGGTTCCGGATTTCGGGTTTTATGCCCAGCCCTAGTTCACATAGATCTTGGTTTTAAAGAAGTAATGGTAACTTTGTGACCTTTTAAGCATGCATGAGCTAAATCTAAACTGTTTTTATGTAACTTTACTAGTCCTAATGTTTAATGTTTTAATTTAACTTAGCTCTAATAAAGTTTTTGAATCTGATAAAATTATTGACAGGAAATAAATCATGCTGGAGCAGGTGGACTATGGGCTGAACTTGTTAGCAACAGAGGTTTTTCTGGATTTTAGAAGTTTTCTATAAAGCTTTTCATTAAAAAGAATGGTAATAACAATCTTTGGTTCTAGGATTTGAAGCTGGTGGACAAACCATTCCTTCCAATATCTGGCCTTGGTCCATTATTGGAGATGAATCATCCATATATGTCGTTACAGACCGTTCTTCGTGTTTTGAGCGTAACAAGATTGCTCTTAAAATGGAAGTGCTTTGTGACAGCAATGGCAGTAGCAATTGTTGTCCATCAGGAGGAGTTGGGATTTATAACCCGGGTTATTGGGGCATGGTTGCATTTTATACTCTCAATTACAATTTGCATTTCCTTTAATGATTAAACAAGTTTTACTCATTTGTCTATCTTTTCTATTAGAACATTGAAGAAGCGAAGAAATACAAAGTGGTGTTCTATGTGCGTTCGACCGGAGACATCGATGTGTCTGTGTCGTTTACAAGTTCGAATGGATCATTGACTCTTGCGTCAGAAAATATTATGTGAGAAAGAAACTTTCACATTCTCCAACATTTTTCTGAATGCTTCCTTAATCATGTTGTTCATTTATTTCTGTAGAGCTTTGGCTTCTGATGTTTCAAATTGGACTAAAAAGGAAATGCTTTTAGAAGCAAATGGAACAGATAATGGTGCAAGACTTCAGTTTACAACAACCAAAAAAGGTTCAATTTGGTTTGACCAAGTCTCAGCCATGCCTATGGATACTTACAAGGTCTGTTTACTTCGTTGAGACGACGATGGCTAATATATAGAGTCTAGCTGCATATTCAAAACAGAGAAATTTATCTAAGAAAAATACAAAATTTTTGATTTTCTTGGTTGGTCACAGGGACATGGTTTCAGCAGAGCCGGCTCAACGTTTATGAGGGCCACAATCAAAGGAAAAAAAAAGGCTGCCTCATATTTATATTAAAAAAAAAAGCATATTATTCTTCAAATCTAACAATTCTCAATGCATTTCTTCCTGCAAACTCATTCATCAAGCTTTTATAATCAAGTTTCTCATCATTCCCATTATCACTCTCAATCTCAGTTTCAATCTCCATATCACTCTCATTCGCATTCTCATTCTTTTTCTCTCCACACTCGTGTTCATCACCATGTTCACCAATTTCATCTTCACAAGTTTCTGAAATACCAGCTTCTTCACTACTCATATTGATCTCTTTTTCTAAAGGCTCATCAGTTTTAGAAGTTTCAGATTTTTTTACATACCTCAACATCGAGTTTTCCATTGATTTTGTTAATTTCTCTTGTCTCTTCTTTTTTCTTACTTTTGATGCTCCTCCTGGCTAGTGTCTTATTCGATTCGAAGTCATCTTCCTGCAATCATTGAACAAATCAATAGTTAGTATGACTTTCTGTACAAGGAAGAGATAGAGTCGTAGAGAGAAAGTTGTTTGTCTAATGTTTAAACGCATATAAAAAATCAATTGACAAACCTGAATTGATTCAAAACTCAAGTCTGAGCAAAGTGAAAAAAAGAGAAAGATGAATCTGATATTGTTGCTTTGATGGAGATTGATGAGGTCGAAGGGAAGAACGATTCACGATTGCAAATTTGCAAGACCAAGGAGGAAGAAGAAGAGCAAACGACGTCTTAATTAGGTTTTAAGGTTTATTGCTTTTTTTGATTAATATTTGTTTTATAATTTTTGTTTAAGTAAATTAAATTTCGTTTTATTTTTTATCACAAAGCTTTTTAATATTATTTTTCGTTTTATTTCTAAAAAACGGAAAAAAAAAAAAAAAAAAAAGCTATTACCAAGGCTTGAACCCGAGACATGGGACATTATACACATGAGAGCAGACCACTAGACTAAAGGAACTTCTCAGAAATATGGGGCCGCAAATTAACTATAATATTTGAGGCCACAAGCCACTGCCTCATGGGCCTGTGCCATGGGCCGGCTCTGGGTTTCAGAAATGATCTTTTCCAAATGATGGTTGATCTAAAACCGCGTTTCATCCGATTCCCGGGTAATTTCTAGAGAGCAAAATAGCATTTGACTTGGTAAAATATATATGAATAAAGATGAGAAAAGCTAAAAGACTTATCAATATTTTGAGACTTAGGTGGTTGTTTTGTGGAGGGTGAATGGTTAGGCAATGCATTCCGCTGGAAAGAAACCGTGGGAGCTTGGGAAGAGAGACCTGGCCATTATGGTGATGTTTGGAAGTACTGGACTGATGATGGCCTTGGTCACTTTGAATTCTTTCAAGTAGGATGTTTCGTTCCTTTTCGGTTCTATAACCATTTCATCAAGGTTTTCAATTATTCCTCCTAAGCTCGATATCAAATGTCGAAACAAATATTCTTGTAGCTTGCAGAAGACATTGGTGCAGCCCCAGTATGGGTGTTTAACAATGGTAATTCTTAAGCTCTATATCTCAAGACTTTGCTTTATTTACATGTATCTACCTTTTTGTAACTGTTGCAGGGATCAGTCACAATGATCAAGTTGAAACAGAAAATGTCAAGCCTTTTGTTCAAGTATACTCATGGAACTATCTATTTTAATTAAGAGAGTGAGAATGGTTCATTAGTGAGCCAAAAGTGAAACTAAAATGTCTCTTTTTTCTCGGTTTCAGGAAGCGATTGACGGTATAGAGTTTGCTCGCGGAGATCCTCAGTCTACATGGGGATCGGTTCGAGCTGCAATGGGACATCCAGAGCCTTTTGAACTGAAATATGTTGCGGTCGGGAATGAAGATTGTTTTAAGAGTTACTACAGAGGTTTTTGCATTTCTCTCTGTTATTTAAAACCATTTTGAAAGAAACAGACAAGAGATCTTTGATTATACTAACTTAAATACATAACTTCTTTCAGGAAACTATCTTGAGTTTTATGATGCTATCAAAAAAGCTTATCCAGACATCAAAATCATCTCCAACTGCGATGCATCGTTTAAGCCGCTCGATCACCCTGCTGACTACTTTGATTACCACGTAGAAATACCAAAAACAAGAACCGTTTCAAATTTTATTATGCATAACATTGGTTTTTACAGATTTTTATTATTCCCTTTTGTTCCAGATTTATACTCTTGCAAAGGATTTGTTTTCCAGGTCCCATGACTTTGACAATACACCGCGCAACGGTCCAAAGGTGCGGTAATAGATGATACAAAAGAGTTTGTTTTCGACATTAAAAAACTTTGCCTTGAATCTTCTTCTAATGAAGAAGCTTTCAACATTTTTTGGTTATAGGCTTTTGTTAGCGAGTACGCTGTAAACAAAACGGATGCTAATAATGGAAACCTTTTGGCCGCTCTTGGGGAAGCAGCCTTCCTCCTTGGTTTGGAAAAGAACAGGTTTTTCTCAAAACTCTATCTTCTTCTTTGGTTTTGAAAAGAAAAGTTAAAACAGTCACTGTCCTGTTTTTGTTGCAGTGACATTGTAGGAATGGTTAGCTATGCACCTCTCTTTGTCAACACAAATGATAAAAGGTATCCCTCACTTTAATTTTAACGGTTTTTATCGGTATCTTGAATGCGGTAATCAGAAACAAGCCGGTTTCTTTTGTTTATTCAGGTGGATCCCTGATGCAATAGTTTTTAACTCGTCTCATCTATATGGAACTCCTAGCTATTGGGTCCAACAGTTCTTCACCGAGTCAAGCGGAGCAACTCTTCTCAATTCTACTCTTAAGGGAAACTCTTTTTCTATTGAAGCATCTGCTATCTCCTTCCAAGCCAATGGCAAAACTTACATACAAATCAAGGTTTGGTTATTTCGCATTCGCAGAAAACAGATGTATAGAGATATAAGAGTTCTGTTTCTGACAAAATATGAATGTTCATATATTGAAGGCTGTAAACTTTGGAGAAGAATCAGTAAATCTAAAGGTAACGGTGACCGGATTGATCGCAAAATTTTATGGATCCAAGAAGAAAGTACTTACATCTGCCAATGTGATGGATGAGAATTCTTTCTCAACCCCAGAGATGGTAAAACAGATACACATGACTTAAGGCTTAGTTTTGTTCTAAATCTTGAAAATGTTGGTAAGTTGTTTTCTCTGTTCCACTTCTACAGATTGTGCCGCAAGAAAGCTTGCTAGAGATGACTGAGGAGGAGGACCTTATGTTTGTTCTCCCGCCGCACTCGTTCTCCTCCTTCGATTTGTTGAAACAATCTGAAAATATCATCAAGATGCCAATATGATTCCTACAACAAAACTTCAACAATGTGAAGAGAAACATCATGTTGGAGACTTCATATCTTTTACTCTTCAGTGGTCATTAAATATATAAACGTATATATGTATATGTTCGTGAATAATAAACAAAGTTATTGCCCTAAGATTACTTGATCCGCAAGGTTAATACCAACAATTTAGTACTAGGTTACAAGAAGGCCGAGAGAAAAACAACCAATGCTAATACATTTGGACCCTAAACTGTTTAATCAAAGGAACTTAGATTGTGTAGTCAAAAAGCAGCTAAAAATAGCCCACAATTAAAATGTTTACTGGTTAATTAAAACTGCTCACAGTTTCTTGTTTTACTTTTCTTGAAACTATATTTAGAAAGACATCGAGTAACAAATCTTAAGACTTGAGAAACTAAAATTTCCTTAATTCCAGCAATTTAACTCGCCTTTCAAAGCTAAATAGACTTTACAAACAGACACCAAAATATTAAAAACCATTAAAAGAAAATGTTCCATTACTTTCACACAATTTTGATTAATTCTATTATATTATTTTGTATGTAAGAGCAAGATGGCTCCCTTCATCGCCTTATTCACCGGCCTTTGTGGCTTCAAGCAAAAAACTCGGCCATTGGGAACGATCGGGTCGGGGAACCAATCATCTCCTCTTGAGACCACAGAAAGAGAACAAACATGGAATGACTTCCAGAACAAGGAAAGCGATGACTTGCAGAACAAGGAAAGCGATGATCAAGATACTAATGCATTTAACGACTATGATAGTGACACAAACTCTGAGCTTCCGTTGCCTCCAGCGAGAAAAGGAGCGTTACGTGGAACATATTCGTGTAACAACATGGTGTTAAGAAGATCTTTGTCTACTAAGAAGAAACTGAGCGCGAGCCTAACGATCCAAATGCCGAGATCATTGTCCATGGTCCTTAAACGTGCCGTTGAGGAGGATAAATCTGTGAGGAATAAGAAACTGAAGGCGGAGAATTCGATTCTGATACGTCCAATTATACTTGGAGAGAGATGTAGGGTTCTTGATGCGGAAGAAGGAGATGAAGAACATAGCCAAAGAATGCCAAAGAACCGAATATATCGTCCTAGATCCATGAGTTCGATCTCGATTTCGAGAACTAACTCGAACATCGATATGAATGCAATTCCCGTAGAAGTAACATCATCAGAAGACTCAGTGAAAAAGAAGGAAAATAATTATTAAACAAAAGATCTAATATTATGATATCTAAAAAGAATCCGAAATGAATTAGCTTCAGGGTGTATCCCAAGATTAGGGGTTAATTGTTAAATCTCATGAATCAGAGTGACATCATCGTGAAAAATTCGATGAAGAGTGATATCATCAATTTAATTTGAAGGATCATGATAAAAAAAAGTACATAATGACTTCAAAGAAGCTTTTGAAACAAATAGAGTTGTAATATATATTAGATGCATCTCTTTTAACCTCCTAAAATGTATCTACCATTTATTTCTCCAAGTACATATGTAACTAAGTGATTTATGAGAACCAAATGCTTTGAGATTGCTTTCAGCTTCTTTATTTTCAACGATGACTCTAGAAAAACATTAAGTAACATATAAGTTTTTATATTTATATTGGATAAGAAATCTCTTATGTGATAAGATATAGATAAGAATGAATAAACAACAAAATGGTTTGAAAATTTTCTTAGATTAGTTACCTCACTTAAGCTGCAAATAGTGTTAATAAAAGAAACGAGTTGATATAATAGATGGTTAAATGAATATAAGTTGAATAATAAAACTGAGATGAATAAACAATTTTTCATCGTTCGTGTCATTCATCTCCTATTTAGAAGATGAACAAATTTTTAACTAAAACAAGCAATTTTTCATCTATTAAGTGGAGCCTAATAAAATTCCGATAAAAATAATTTTATTGTAAATGGTGCATTTCTCGTTGAATATAGTTGAAAGCTAGATTTATCTCTTTTAACCTCCTAAAATGTATCAACCATTTGTACCTTTAGTATGCCAGAAAAAGATTGACGAGAATCGAGTGCTTTGAGATTGTATTTTTGGTACAAAACGTTTAGTTTTTTTTTTTTTTCCTTTTTCATTTCAATGATAATTGTAGAAAATCAAATAAGAGAGTAAGTCACGCATAAGTACTTTTATATAATATTGGATAAGAACTATCTTACATGAAGAGATGGATAAGAAATGAAGAAACAATAAAACGCTTAGAAAGTTCTATTAGATTACTTACCTCACTTAGGCTGCAAATGATTATTAATAAAATAAACGAGTTGATAGAATGTATAATAGTCATATGAATAAAACGAGTTGAATATGAAAATTGAGATGAATAAAAAAAATTTCACCTTTCATGTCATTCATCTCTTAATAAAAGGATAAACAATTTTCAACTAAAACAAGTTATTTTCTATCTACTATGTGGAGTACAATAAAATTAGGATGAAATTAAATTTTGTAAATGGTGCATTGCACCTTTAGTATGTCGCTTTGAGAATTTTTATAAAAATGCTTTGATGTATGTAAGAAAACAAATAAGAGAGTACCTCACATATAATTCTTAATATACATATTGGAAATTGGATGAAAAAATAAAAAATAAAAATGTATATGGTTTAAAACAACAATTAAAACCTCACACGAATCTAATATATTCTATTACTTCTCATTTGAAATCTTTTTCTATCAATGTCCCACATAATTCTGACTTGCAATCCACCATGTCACTTCAGATTCTAAAGCTGGAAAAGAGAAGTGGACATACCATTGTTTAACATTGCAAGAATGGGGATAGAAAGGGAGCCAGGGAGGGTATTATACCATTGGCTACTTTTGGTCAATAACCAGATTAAGCTAAGGGGATCCTCCACTCTGGTTTTGACTCATCGGAAACCTTCCACTTCCTAGATATTTTTTAAATATTTGAGAAAATATTACTAGAGATCTAAATAATATTTTGAACGGATCTGAGCAAATATGTTTATGATGTGATTGATTGTATTTGTAGATTTAGAATATGAAGAGGTGATTGATGGTATTAAATAGATTTGGAAGAGAAACGAAGAAAGAACTTAAAATGAAATGATAAGCCTGCGATTTAATTATGTTGATGTGACAACTTGTTAACCTATGCTAAATTATATGATGTGTTTGACTTTGACTGGTGTGGCAGTTCGAAAAAAAATTCAAATAAGTTAACATGGACACTCCCAAAAGCTTTAAATTTTTTATTTTATTAGTGTAGATACT